TGTGAATGATGATCATTTGGATATATATTAAACCATTTTACCTTATTCTCGTGATTTACTTTTTTTGTGCCATCACTGAGTCGTCCTGTTTTGGACATGTCCTGTTTTGGACATGTCTCATCTAACGTCAGGCGTTGGTGACATCAAATGTTTTATGACAATACACTTGACAGCACATTGTTAAATATCACCTTGAAGCTGACCGCCGCCTGGTCATTTCCTACAGGGTCTGGTGGTGAGTGCAGTACTCTTTGTGTCATGCTAGGCTGCCTGTGTAAACCCACAGTCTGGTACTTGGGAGTAGGTCCATGTCAGGGAGTGTGTGTGAAGTCCTGGAAGAGATGACCTGGAAAGATCCAGATTGGGATCGTGGTGCGGTGCAGTGTGGTGTGGTGTGGTGGGGGTTTAAGCACCACAGAGCCCTTCTGCAAACAACATGTGGAAAGGCTTTGGTGGCTAATGTAGCGTGGAGTATTTATGTACTGAGCACCAACCACTGTCCATCAGTATTTAAAGAACAGATATGCCACATACACTGGGCCACAAGCTCCACATGACTGCTCTGTCCAGCCCCCGACTAAGTCTTGAATCCACCCCCAACTCTTTTGCTGCCACTTCTGATGTTTAGAGTGCAGTAGTCTTCATCCTCTTCGGGCAGGTGGTCTGCGGTGGGTCTGTGAGTTCTCTGCTGACTCACAGAAACAGATTACAGAGACCAAGAAGAATGGCTGTAACAGTCAGCCTCTTCTGTCTAAATTACATTGGACAGCAGAGAGGAGACGAGACAATTACGGAGACAATGATCATTAAAATAAATGAGTCTTCTGTATAAACAGTTTAGCTCTGTCATGTCCAACGTCCAACCAACTGTCAAAGATGTCCTTTTTAAATAATTTAATGGTCCACAATGAGAGAAAAATGTTTGGACTTTTTGACAGAAGTTCCCCCATGGCAGTTGTCATATTTCAGGGCATTATTGATCACTTAAAGACAACTTTATTTAAACCCATGAGAATATTCCAGCTAATTGTATCCATGTGTGAGCTAACTTGAATTTACCATAGTTCATTTGTGTCTAAATTTCCAGGGTAAAGTTTTTGTTTTCTTCTTGGCTTGGTTAAAGCAGTTTGGCAGCATTCTTTACGATGTCCGCCAGCAAACGTTTATTATTATTTGGCTAACTGTCGCTAACTGTAGTTGTAGTTAGAGTGTTTGCTAATTCTTAGCTAACGTAGTTTATTTTTTTCTGGATTTTTGGTACCTTTTAGCTTCTTGGAGGTTCTTGCTTAATTTATTTCTTTGTCCCTAGCTACTGTTACATATGGATAAAGAACAGTGCTCATAATTTATCTTGGTTAACCTAGTAAACTCTTGCTGACTTTATTTATTTTTCCTTTGATGTTTTGTCAGTGTTTGGTGTAAATACCTGTGAGTTTGCTGATGTTAAACTCAAACTAGGCTATTGACTGACATTTATTTTTCAGCTAATTAAATTGGGAAACAGTGAGAACTGCTTTCAAGTGTCCAGAATGTGTTTTTTTTTAATTGCCTGTCAGACAGCAACTGTCACCGTCACTTTGATTCCGTTCCTCAAACTTATAAAATGACATCATTGGCTAAACAATTTTTGTGTTATTATCCAATTTATGGCCAGATGTACAACATTAAATGATCAGACTTTTTCAACAAAGGGGTAGCAACACGCTACGTCAACAAGTTCAATGTAGACATTTATGTAAAACCGAAAATTAGCTTCAAAAAGTGCCTCAAACATGACAGTGAAATTACTGTTTTCCTTCCACATAGTGTAATGGGCTTGTCAAACATAGTTTGACTCTGGTTTTGAAGAGGAAGGAAAAAAAATACGGAGTGTAATTTACAGCCACACCACTAATTTGAGTGCGGGTGCGAACGTAGATGAGGCTGGTTGGCACCACGCACACTCATTTGAACACGTGCAGAGAAGAAGACTGGGAGCTGTTTCTGCAGATTATGGTCAAACTCCAGCTCCGTCCTTATGCAAATGTAATGCTGCTGCCGCCACAGGAAATTAGGTTTTTCTTTACTAAACATACACTACGACGTCTGGTATTTGAATGTGATATACTGCAAACCACAGGTGCTAAAAATAGATGCCCTACTCTGAGGGCAAGATTGTACTCTTTGTTATAAATTATTATTCACCACATAACACACACACACAAAAGCTTCACTGGTGCATTATCTAAAATACCAAAAGTTGATCTAACATTATGTTTAATCATGCTCAAATGACCAGAACACACATATAACATAAATATATAGTCTGTATTTATTTATTAATAAAAATGCCAGCTTTTCATTTTAAATTTTACAAGGCAAATGTTTATTTATTAATATTTATTGTGTGAAAAAAAATCCTACTTAAAAACAAAAATTGTCCAAACCGCCATCACATTTTTTATCTCGCGCACCCCCTACTGGCCGCTCGCGCACCACACTTAATGGCCTAATTGTTCTTAAAAAACCCTATAATAAGAATAAGAGGAACCTCTTGACAGAAATATTTTCTGTTGAATGTCTATTAACTAGTGTAAATACATTTGACAGAATAAAAATTCCAACCTGAGTCCTTTAAATAAATAGATGTACGTACAGTATGCTCTTGGTGGGACATGTTCTTAATAATGTCAAACTCACCAGGGCAGCGACGGCACAGA